TGAAAAACAATGAAGTCTTAACTGACGAAATCTCAGAAAGCAATTGGGACAGAGATTGAATGGTATCCAGGAAAATGCTTGACGCAGAAATTCCTCAAGAAAAAGCTGTCCAAGAAGCCAAAGCACGGGATTACCCAGAGAATTTTCCAGAAGGATCCTGACGGTGAAAGAAGACTGGTGACAATGCCAAGATGATTACCAACTTTCACCCTTACACACATTTTTGAGCCTAACGATCCTTTCGTTTCTCAACCTGTGAACCGAGCCTACGTTACGCCCCTCATGAAGTCTCTTCTGACTAGGACACTTGAATTAACGTGGCATTTCAAATGTTTATAAACAACACTCGAGGAAGTGCGAGCAAGACTACTTCTATCTCGTTTTGCAGGGCTCTTGACTTGTAAACCTGGAGATGATTGCATAATATTTTCTTTCATGGCCTTGACTCGGACAGTCACCCTTGTTAAGCCATTGACTAAGCCAGCATTACGACCCTGAAGAAGACCTCTCAGAATGGCAGCGTCATACCGCTTGCGAGAAAACTCAGACCCTTGTGGATGTGATAACGGTCAGATTGAGTGTTTTCGATGTTCCCGCATTAATGGATGGGACAAATAGCCCTTTTCAATGAGAGCGAGTGGAAAGTCCTTTCTGACTAAGGATCCCTCGTTCAGCATCTCGAGAAGTCCACATCCTAAGCGAAAATTGTCTTGATTGACCCTCGGTGGATGTTTGGTGATGCAAACATGGTAAAATCATTATGCATGAACTTTCAAATACACATTCTGGAATAGCCCAGCTTGTTTATCCTTGATGAATGCATGCATGTTTGTGCTAACCCTATTTGACAGGTAAAATATCCTCAAAGACTCAAAGAACATATGACCTTTGGAGCGTCTCCAAAGATGTCACAAAAAATTTCTTCTGTTCCCCAAGTGGAATTGACACAGCATGCTTTTGCAGCTCAGAGTTCTAATCCCCAGTGATAGAACATGAAAATTCAGGCACTGGGGAAGCCCTAATTATCATCACAAAAGAGATGCCCTGAAAAAGGTCGGGTATTTAGCAGATGATACATCAAACCTCTGGGTAAGAAATCCCAGGTATTTTATCAGAATTCTTTTCAAACTACCCAGAAGGTAAACAGGGTGTTCCTTTGAAAAAGAAAAGCATCTTGACTTGCTGGTCAAGATATTTCATACGATATTCAAGAATAGCCTCAGTTGTCTATTTCTCCGATAAATACGTATGTCTTTGCACAAAAACTTGTCTGACAGGAGACACGCCCTTAAGAGGCAGGAACGTGCCCATGTAAGTATATTCTACCCATGCCCGGTTCAAAAAAATCATGTACCTACAATTGTTATGGTACCCTTTGAACATCGAATTGACCCCGTTGTTCACCCTCTGAACATCGGATTGACCCCGTTATTCACCAGCTGAACATCGGATTGACCCCTTTGTTCACCCTCTGAACATCGAATTGACCCCGTTGTTCACCCTTTGAACATCGGATTGACCCTGTTGTTCACCCTCTGAACATTGGATTGACCCCGTTGTTCACCCTCTGAACATCGGATTGACCCCTTGTTCACCCTCTGAACATCGGATTGACCCCGTTGTTCACCCTCTGAACATCGGATTGACCCCGTTATTCACCCTTTGAGCATGGGACTGACCCCCCTGTTCACATCAAATCCTCGGGCGAGGACCCCCAGGTGCTCATCGTTTGAGCCTTTTCAAGACCTGCTGGCAATGACCCACCAGGCAAATCAACAAATCCTCGGACGAGGAACCCCAGGTGCTCATCGTTTGAGTCTCTCCAAGACCTGCTGGCGAGGATCCACTAGGCAAACCATCAATCCCCGTCAAGGCGACCGAAGAAAGGTTCGGGTCCTAGACAAATAAAATCCAGTCAAGGCGACCGAAGAAAGGTTCGGGTCCTAGACAAAAGCAATCCCCGTCAAGGCGACCGAAGAAAGGTTCGGGTCCTAGACAAAAGCAATCCCCGTCAAGGCGACCGAAGAAAGGTTCGGGTCCTAGACAAACCATTTCCCCCCTCAAGGCGACCGAAGATAGGTTCGGGTCCTCGACACACAATATAAACTATCTGAAATTACTCTACCCTTCGGCAAGGTAAGTAACCCCGGGTATGTTTTTATTTACTTTAGCATGCATCATTTTATCGCATCATAAAAAAATGAGACTCACGGTCTCGCCAAAAATAGTATTCATTGAGCATGCATGGGCCAAATTTAGGTGTCATCTTATCTTTGAACGTAACCTCTGCGAGCTCAAACTCTACGAGCTCACCTTCAAAGAGGGGCAACTGTTGACACCTATTTTAATTGGCCCAAAAATTAATTACACAAAATTTAGGAATTAATTTTCTTTAATTCCTAAAACAAAAAAATATTTCTATTTAAATACATTGCATATAGAATTTAGACACATTTGTATTAATAGGGTCTATTAGAATGTTTAAAAAAAAATTCAAAAAAAAAAAAAAACGAACGAGTCGGGCCGGGTCGGGGCCGGGCCAACCCGGCCCTTTTTCCTTTTCCTTTTTTCCCCCGCATGGGCCCAGCCCGCTTTTTCTTTTTTCTTTTTTTTTCCTCCGCGCGGCTGGGCCTGGCCCGGCCCAGCCCCTTCTCCTCCTTCTTCCTCCCCCCGCCGAGCGTCGCTGTCCTTCCCCTGTTCTCCCCTGTTGCTGACGCAGAAGCGACGAGCGGCGGAGCGGCCTCACCCCGTCCCTATCCGGCCAGAGCAAGCCGGGGCAGCACGCCACAGGGACTGGCCATTAAGGCCAGCTCCGTCCCCTCCGTTTTCCCGGGCCTCCCTTATCTCCTTCTCCCTCTCTTCCCCCTGTTTCTCTACTCTGCCGTCTCAGAGCCTCCCCCTGCTTTGCACCGGCCTAAGTGGCCACGAAGTCACGGGCTAGCGTAGGCCAGTGCAGGCCATCGTCATGCAGACGCAACGGAGCAAAGAGACGCGTCGTCGCCGGCTATATATAGCCAGAGAGAGAGAGAGAGGCCGGTCGGCCATTTTGGAGAAAAACACAGAGAAAGCGTGAGAGTGTGAGCCGAGAGAGAAAGGGAGCTTCCGGCGGCCACCGCGCCTCAGCTTCAGCCATCCATCCCCGCCGCCGAGCCGACGGCGGCGACACAGAGAGCTAGAGAGCCTGGGTCGGCCATTTTGAGAGAGAAACAAAGAACAGAGAGAGAAGAGAGAGAATAGAGAGAGAGAGAGCGCAAACATAGGTCACGCCGGAGCCAAAAGAGAACCAGCAGTGGTCGTCGACGTCTCCAGACCAGCCGTAAGCCCCTCAGAAGCGTCGCCAACCGGTGAGCCCCCGACCGAGAACCGTCTCTGTTTTCCGGCGTGGTTGGGCCGGGACTCGCGCCGGCCGTTTCGCACGAATCTTGGCCCATACCGACGTCGGTCCCGGTCCCTGCTCACCGTCTGAAGCGAACCATAGCCGTCGGAGCCGACCAAGTCGCTGGAGGAGGTCGAAATCTTTTGATTTTCATCGCGCACGCCAAGTGCTCGATGAAATGCTTCCAAGAGCCGGGTTTGTCTTTGGCCGCCGGCCGGCAATCGAGCAGTCGGACGGCAAGCCTAGTCGTCGGAACAGGTAGGTGGGGCTTGTGGGGTGAAGACCCAGGCCATGGGTGGTCTGGGTCGTCCGGCGAGATCGCCGGATTTCACCGGCGAAGCTCCCGAGTGCCTAGACACGCGGGAGCCGTCCCCGGACCGGCCTGCAGACCGGTTCGATTGGTCTGCAAGTAAATAGGGCCGGTTCGACCCGGTCGAACCGGCCCTATTTCGTCTTTTTCCACCGGACCGGGACCCAACCGGGCTCGATCCGGTCCAGACCCGGGTTGACTCTTTGACCCGGGTCGGATCCGGAAATTCGACCCGGTCAACGTAATGGGTCGGGTCCGTTGACCCGGGTCGGATCCGACCGACCCGACCCGGGTTTTAATATTATATTAATATTAATATTTTATTTTATTTTATTTAAAAAAACAAAATTTAAAAAAATTTAAAAAAAATTTAAATTTAAATTTTTTTCTTTTTCTCTTCTTATGTTTTTTTTATAAAAAAAATTCAAAATTTTTTTTAAAAAAAGAAAAGATTTTTTTTTAAATTATGTGATATTTCTAAGTGTTTTGTTTTATTGTGGCATTATTATGCATGTTTTTGTCTTGTTTAAATTAGACAAGCCTAAGGTTACGCGGTAGTATTTTGCGTGTTTTTATTATTATTATCGTTGTATTGTTATGCATGCTTTTTAATACAATCGCATGAGTTGTTGTGTTTTCAATGTCATCTGACTTAGTTAAGGTTAGAACCTTAAGCTGCATGAATTGTTGTGTTTTTGACTGCTAATCGTTTCTGATTATGCACTCGCTTGATCACCTCACATGTTAGGAGAAAGGTCCTAAAATCAATCCAAACTGCCTGATAAATGTTTTAAAAAATGAACAGGGTAAAATGGTACCGAAAGAGCATTAGTTATCCAACTAGTGTAACCAAGTCCCCGAACTCAGTTAATCTCTGGTTCGCAGGAATAGGGTGATTCTCCTATCACCTTATTTGGGTTTCTAATCGACCCACCCCAAATCGATTAGTGGCGACTCCTTGGTATAAACCACTTGCATGTTAAATACTTAAACCCTAAGTCGTGATGTGGTATGGACTTGGGAGAGCCTTAGTTAAGTCCCGAACCTAGACTTAGCACGTACCAGGCGAACCCTCCCTTTTTGCATGTTTGATAAAAAAGAGGGCTCGGGAGTTCGGTTGCGACAGTTTCTTTTGTCCACCGGAGATGCCTCGTATCATTTCATCTCCCACCATCGTGTCGTCGCAGATTTCAAGTCCCAGAATCTAAATTTAAGCATTGCAAAAAGAACAAAAATTTTCAGATTTTGTGTTTTCTTCTTATCCTCATGGCAAGAGCAGAAGAATGGACTAGTGGTGTTTTTTCTTGTTCATACCTTGAGTATATAATCAGTAACAATATTAGTCTCCTTCCCTTCCATTGCAACTGCCTGCAGAAGATTAAGATCAATAGAAGCTCTTACGGGCATTAATACATGTTTTTGACCATATTTTGCACATTCCGAAGAAAGAAAGTATATGCATGTAAAATCTGCAATCAGAAAGCTGTTAAACTGTTCAATAGTCATGGTCTCATTTCTCACCTTCATAAAGATATCTATATCTGGATCGGGTTTGATATTTGCCTTCGTCTCTCTTCTTTATAACTCTGCTAGCATATCTGAGAAACAACGGTAGTATTATACCTCAAAATCCTTGCTCTTTTCCAGAATTTACTCTTCGAATCATGGTAACAAAGAAAAATAGCGCAAACTCACCATAATGGGATCCCATGCCTTGACACCTGACCGAGAAAGCCAGAGTTTCTCTAACAGTCAATTCTCCTATATGGAGATCATATTGACTAATATAAGCCGATGTCCTCTGCGGTACAAATTCTTTCATCCCGTGTCCATTGTACGTGACTCTTCCCGAGGACTGAGATTCACAAGCTCTTCGTGTGACTTACACACTAAAGACTACTAAAGTAAGACTGCTCTAGAAGTACTTTCTTTATGCTTACTTTCAAATCGTTGCCGAGCTTCCCAGCTAATGCTAGAAGTAATGTGGTCTTGCCAGAGCCTGGAGGCCCCAGAAGTAATGTCATTCTGCAAAAGAAAAATAAAAACAGTGAGCATTTTATGCTGATAAAAATCTATAGTAACTCTCTCTCTTCTTACCTACAAGGCTTGATGATTCCGCTGACATCGTTGAGGATCGGTAATGGTTTCTTTCTACTAGGAAGGATGTGAAAATAGTTGAGAAACCCCTGTTGACATTGATTAATATGAGACGGTGTTCAGTCAGTTTGGGCAGAATCCAAGAAAAAACAGATAGTTCATGAATTGACTATTAATTACCGCAAGTATGTTGACAGAGAAATTGAAAATTGTGGGTAGAGCTCGGCTTCCAACATAAGCTCCGGCCTCGACATTTAGATGCTCGAATCGGACTTCAATCGAAGGAAAATCTAGTCCAACTCTGTTTATGATACAGAAGGACAAACACAGTTATTATAAAGATTTATCATGAAACTTTCAGCTCAGAAGAGAAAATACCATTTCTCAGATAAAGTTTCTTTATCAGGGTAAAAAAAAAGAAAAAGAAATCACACCACTTTAACATGCTCTTAAAAACTATTGCAGTCACCAACTAATTCAATTTCTGAAGTGCTTATAAAGTCATCAGCATGTACCTCTCAATCCTCTTCTTCAGCTTTAACAAGAACTTTTCATTGTCTTCCTCAGCTGTATTCAGCAACCTCTCCAACAAGTTCCTCCTCTCTATCGATCCGAGATTCTCGATATCGACCTCTCTTATCTGGCCTTCTTCTTCGGCGAGAATTCCCCGTCGAATACGCAAATACGTTGGAAGCTTTTCAAGTGCAGCCCACTTCAGAGCCTCCTCATCATCCTCATCCCTGCTAGACCTTGAGAAGATCTCCTTCCCACTGTTCCTCCATATATTTGAGCTGCTCAGCCTTGCACTGCTTATTCTAAATACATCACCAGTGTCCATAGTCACCCCTAAAAGCTACACAAATGCTTCACTGAATGGTAATTTTCATGCAAGCAAGCCTTTGTCCATGACAATGTGCGTGAAAAGGGTCAAGAAAGTTCGAAGCCTTTTTAGATGCTTTCGAAAGCTTCTGATGATGGTTAAACAAGAGGCAGTTGCATTTTGTGTGTATATATAGCTTGAGTAGAAGAAAAAGACGCCAAAATGGGTTCAATAAATTTTTTTGTTCTAGGGATAAGTGTACTGGAAGTCCTAAAACTTTGTCACGAAAGTACAATTAAGTCCTAAACTTTTAAAAAGTGCAATTAAATCCTAAAACCTGTCAAGTTGGTGCGATCAAGTCCTTCTATTAACTCTGTTCAACTTGACAAATGAAAAATGCTAATAAGTTTTAGGACTTGATTGCACCAACTTGATAAGTTTTGAGACTTGATTGCATTTAATTGACAAGTTTTAGGACTAAATTGCATTTTTGTGGTGAGTTTTAGGATTTGATCGCACTTTTTGAAAGGTTTAAGACTCAGTTTTAGGAATTGCAATGCAATTATCCCTTTGATTAATTTTGTTTCACAGGTGGGTTTGGGGAAACTGCATTTATCTTAGGAGGAAGGGAAGAGGTCGGAGCATGTTCTGGTACTATTTTTTTTACAAAATAAATGCACTGAATGGAAGTGGGAAGGAGAAGGTTGATTATTACATGTATGATAGCTTTTCATTGCCAATCATGCCGGTGGCAGATGCAAGAATTAGGCCGGGACGGATACTAGATATGGGCGAGTTTTAGCCCGTGAACGAAATTCGATCCAAAGTCCGGCCATGTGATTTTAATTAGGAAAGTTCTGATTGGACTTCTGATCGACCGAACATTTGAAGCACCGGCATTTCCTCGTCGGAGTTGGATGATTGAGTAGGCAAAAACATGGAAATGGATTTCCATGCTAGAGTCGGTGAACAAAGAGTTTCCTAGTTTGATATATGTATACATACACGTGTGTGTGTTTATCACGGGTGTGGTTTGGTGCCTTTGTTGATGTAACTAGGCAGAGTTGTCTTCTTCGTGGGATCTAATTTTACACCCAATTGTTGCAACACTTCTCGTCCCAGAGAAAAAATTGGTTAGTGGTTCTGCGCCTTTGGAGCTGTAATTAGGCAGTGTTGTCTTCTTCGTGGGATTTGATCTTACACCCCGTTGGTGCAGCACTTATCGTCCCTGAGAAAATAGATTAGTGGTCTTGTAGCTGCACGAAAAATGGAAGTCCACAACCCAAATTGAACATGCGGAGCTTCTTCTTCCTGGATTTCATTGGGTGATCTGTGCTGCGCATCCAGTCAAGATCCCTTGTCTTACTGAAGGTGTGCGTGTTTGGAAGTCACGAGGTAATTCTTCATGAATTGTTTTGTGGAGCAATCACGTGAAGCTAAGTACTGTGGGTTTGGGTGTAATTTAGGGTTCGGAAGCACTTGAGTGAGCGATCGGAACTCTGTGGTTCTCCAACCGATTAGTGCATTCTTTGTGGCTGGCTCTCCGACCGATTAGTGAATTCTATGTGGCTGGCTCTTCCCGTAGAGTGGATATCACCAACCTTTGAGCTGAACCATCATTCTTCGTTGTTTTCTTTGGTACTTTCCTTTTTTCTGTGTTATATTTGGATTATAAGATCCATTACCTTCCACGTTATTTCAACTCATAGTTAATGTTTTTACGCTTCAAAGCTTCAAATAATGGGCATGAAACATTTTTTTTTTTAGCAGCGGGCATGAAACACTTTAGGAGGTACGTTTTAGAGGGTGGCGCGATGGCCACAACCTGCTCTTGGTCAGTTATTCAATAATGCTATGCAATAGTATTACAATATTCATCTTGCAGAAATTGATTCCCTAGTTTGAAAAACAATGCAGCATGTATGACTAGGAAATCAACAAATGATGATCATCTTTGGACAAATTAGTCATTAAGAGGGCATTCGAGTCATTTAACTACACCTTTCACATCACCCTTCTTCTATCTTTTAGTGACTGTTAACTTGGCCCAATTTGTTTGGTACCAAGATGATCTTGAGGTGAATTAATTGACGAATTTGAAACTCCGTAGGACGGGTCGGGCTGGTTCCAAGTTCAATTGAGCTCGAGAATTGGTTTTTAATAAAGGAAAATTTCATCTAATTTTTGTAAACAAGCATTAATTTCTCATTTACCACTCATTGAAGCTTCGTAGTTTGCCTTTTCTTATTGTTTTAGGATCTCTTGCCGACTAAAATTTAGTGCTTTTTAAAACAAAAGATTCACAATAAATCTTGATTTTTCTTTTGGGAAAAAACCACCAAAAACCCCAAACTTTGCCGCTTGTGACACATTTACCCCGAACTTTTTTCTGTGATACCAAAAACCCCAAACTATGCTATTTGTGATACATTTACCCCAATGTATTTAGTCCATGGGCATTTTCGTCTTTTTTTCTTTTTCTTTTTTTTTTCTCTTTTTTTTTCCATTCCGGCGAGGGGGGCCCTCGCCGGCGTCGAGCAAGGGTGGCCCTCGCCAGATCCGGCGAGGGTCCCCCTCGCTGGCGTCGGGCGAGGGTCGCCTCGCCCGGGCGAGTGAGGGTCGCCCTCGCCGGGCGAGCGAGGGCGGCCCTCGCCCGACTCGGGCGAGGTCGACCCTGCCGGTGTCGGGCGAGGGTCGACCTCGCTCGAGTCTGGGCGAGGGCCGCCGTCGCACGCCCAGCGGGGGCGACCCTCGCCACGCCGGCGAGGGTCGACCTCGCTCGAGTCGGGCGAGGGCCGCCCCTCGCTCGCCCGTGCGAGGGCGACCCTCGCTCGACGTCGGCGAGGGGGGCCCTCCCCGGAAAGGAAAAAAAAAAGAGAAAAAAAAGAAAAAGCAAAAAAGACGAAAATGCCCATGGACTAAATACATTGGGGTAAATGTGTCACAAATAGCATAGTTTGGGGTTTTTGGTGTCACAAAAACAAATTTGGGGTAAATGTGTCACAGATGGCAAAGTCCGGGATTTTTGATGGTTTTTTCCCTTTTCTTTTTTACGAAGTTCACAACAAATTACGTCATTATTAACTAGGATTTTGTTAAAACGCGCCTCCTTGGTACTTGCTAAGCAAATAGAGAAAGAAAGTTCACAATCTCAATTTTCCAATACAAATTTTTTCCAACATGTTACTTCATAAAAGTATGCTTACCAAGTGTTCCGAAAGTTCTCACTAACAGGACCCACAAATTTCATGTTCTGCAAACGAAAAAAACCCTAATGTGTATTATGACTAAGAAAAAAAGAAAACAAGTTCGTGGACGCGTTGAAATAGCGTTAGCAAATTTCCTTGAAAAGAAAAAAAGAAGAGATTTACCTGATTTTTTCCTTTTTCTTAATAAAATCCATCTATGCCAACTATATGTCCCAAATTGCAGGTTTTGGGTTGTTGCCTTTACATTAATCAATTTGCCTTTACGACATCATGGTACTGTAACATGAACAAGTCCCTAATGTCCTGAAAATTTTGTGGCTGAATTATGCTTTTTGTGCTTTCGTTTGAATTCAAGCATGTCTTTTAGTTCTTGATCTTGTGCTTTACTGAATCATCTTGTTCATTTGTTTTCTTCCTATGTGGTATTATCCAGATGAAGTACACACGCCTTCAGCCAAAAAGAGTCTGCTTACAACAATGGAGGTGGAAATTATGTGCAACTGAGTTGTCGGTTGCATCGACTCAACTTAGTGCAAGAGCAAAGATGCTCGGATCTGAGTACAAGGGAGCTGGAGATTGTCATTTCGGAGAAGGCTTAGGTATTGCTGTTGTTGCCCTTTCTCACGTGGTCTGCAAAATCTCTAAATACAGCTTTCATTGGTATGAGGGTTTATTTAAAGGGTTTTCCATGAGCAGAGCAATTTTCCTAGTGCTTTAGTGGTAATTACACTCGAGCGTAAATGAATGTAATTTGTTCCTGTTCTTTTGTAGGTCGCGTGGGAGAGCGATTGAGATGTCGGGATCATAAACCAAGTGGCAGCAAAGAGAGGAAGCGAATTGAGGCATAGCAGCATCAGGAGGATATGTCTATGATGGGTACCTGAAGGGCCACTCAGCGCCGAGCCGAAGCTAATGAGCATGGATCAGACTGAAGAAGATAATTTCCTGGTCGTAGGGGGTGATGAAACTTGGGATGTGTTTAGGAGTCAGAATGCTGCAGATTTCGCGTGTAGGAGACTTTCAGGAGCACAATGACCTAGTTATGTGTTGTAAGGATGTGGTAGACGAGGATTTGAAGAGGAAGAGTGGGGATAATTTTGCAGCAGCGGTTGTCTGTTTTCAACCACATCACAAGTGCCGTCACTTTCGTATCACGCTCAAGTGAGCGTCATAACTTTTTTCTCTTTCCTCACATGAGTGCCGTGATTTCTAAAATTGTTTATTGAAGAATGTCATAACTTTCAATTGATCACATAAGTACTATAAATTTTAAGAAGCATTCATTACAAGTGCCATGCTGCGTTAGATTTCCGATACTTGTGGTAAGTATCTTAAAAAAGTTATGGCGCTCGAATAATTAATTAAAAAATTATGGCATTTAAGTGAATGCCGTGCTCCGACAAAAAAAGAAGTGGATGCCTTACAAAGTTATCATACTCGAGTGATAAGAAAATTTTATGGTAAAGTGAGTCTTGTACGGAAATTAAGACACTTCTGATTTTATTTCCCTTCAAGAGTTTATAAGAGCTTTTCAGCTGAGGGTTTGAGGGAACTTTAGAGCTGGTTAGATAGCTTGGCTAATTGAGGATATTAACAATATTTTTCGAGTTTGAGCTTGTAAAGAATACTCAATCAAAGTAGGTTTTTTAGTTTGAGAATGTCATGATAGATTCGAAGAATGTTAATGAGGCCTTGCCTGATGAGAAACAAGGCATGATGTTATTGACATTTTGTTGCGACACTCCCAAGGGCGAATGAAATTTCTTGTAACAGCCCGAATTTCGACGTAATTCCGGAATCAATAAAATTGACAATATTTCGCATTTCATTTTAGCAAGTCTCGCCCAGAGCTGATCACTCTCGGGATACTAACCAATGGGGTATGGCTAACTAGAAAACGGTACGTGGACCAGGGACTCGACAGTGAACGGGACACCGATCTCGAGATACGATGAGTGAATATTTTGGGCCAACGTGGGCCGATCTTAGGAAAGGTGATGGATTTGGTTTGGCCAAGGCCAACGATGTACAATCGGATCGCAGGTGATTCTGCAAGACCGAAAGTGCACGTGGCCAACCAGTCCTGAACCTGAACCGAACGATCGTGATCTTTGGAACTAATGATAATTTCTCATTCTCTCAATGATCGGGACCGTCGTAATTCGAATAACCCTAGGTCGATACGCGTATGTCCTAAACAGCCGCCCGTTAGCCAGAGACCCTGAAATTGAAACTCGAGCGAGTTTTGATCACGAAATTGGGCCCGGATTTCGATGTCGATTTTCGAAGGCTTAAGAGACTATTTTTGGGAATCTGATGTCATATTACGCTGGCCACACACGTTTGGAGTTAGTACGAGTAAAAAGTGGAATTTCGGTCCGGGGGTGAAAAATTACGGTTTTGCCCCTGTGGGCACCGAGGCTGGATTCGGAGGCCGTTTGAGGTTATTTTTCGCGGCCAAGGTCATTTTGGGGTGGCCACACACATTTAGAGTGGTTTTGGCAAAAAATTGGAATTTCGACAAAAATTGGAAAAATAATATTATTTTATTCCCGAAACTTCGCAGTCGATTTTTGAGGGCTTAGAAAGTGAATTTCGCGAATCCGACGCCATATTATGTTGGCCACGCACATATGGAACACGTATGTGCGAAAATTGGAATTTCGCCCCGGGACCGGAAAAATTACGGTTTTGCCCCTGGGCCGTTTTCGGGTCCAAATTTTTGGGAAATTTTTGGGATAAGTAACTGTGGTTATCAGCTGCATTATTGGCACCAAAGACCCAATTGCCCCTCAATTATTTAAGCCTATCTCTTTAGAACCGTTAGATTAGGGGCGTTTTGGTCATTTTTCACAGATCGGCGACACGTGGCACTATGCGCTGCCCTTTTTGACCAACTCAGACCAGTTTTCTCTCTCCTCAGCCCTCCCTCTCGGCAGATCAGCCCAGCCACAGCAGCTTCTCCCTCTCTTTCTCTCATTTTTCTCTCTTGATTTTGGCTCGCCGGAGCTTGCCGCCGGCCACCGGAGCACCGCCGCCGACCGCCGTGCCCCGCCGTCAACCCCCACAGCCCCTAGCCTCAGCCTCGCCTCAGTCCAGCCCTTTCTCTCTCCCTTTCCCTCTATTTTTCTCTCTTTTTCTCTCCCGGTAAAGCACCGCCGCCGCGTCCGAGCCTCGCCGGAGCTTCGCCGGAGCTCCGATCGCCCTTCCGTCGCCACCCAGCCGTCTAGCTTGTCGGTACGTCGCCGTTCATTTCCGGCCGTACGGTGTCCGTACGGTCGGTACTGTAGCAGTCCGTACGCCGCCGTCCGCGGCCGTCACCGCCGTCTCGCCGGCCACCGTTCCCACCCGTCCGTACAGTTCCGTACAGCGTGGACAGTGCCGCGTGAACAGTGCCGCGTGAACAGTGCGCGCCCCCCGGGAATTCCGCCCGCCGGTTTCACTGTTCATCAGTGATCGGCCGCCGTTCCCCGTCGCCGTGGTCCAGAAATTAAGTGAGTAAAATTCCTAAACCCGGATTAGGACTGTTAGTGCGTTTTTCTGGACTGGTTTAGGTATTATCGGTACAATTTAGACTGGCTTAGATAGTATCAGTGTGTATTTCAGACTGGGTTGAGGACGGATTGGTAGAAATTATCATTGGGAAATTTAGTGGATTAAAGAGAATTATTTGGGGAGATTAATCGGATTAAATGACCAATTTAGGAGCCCGTTGGAAAATTACCGGGTATGTCCGGGTAGACTGATTGTACGTCAATTGTGCTTAATTGTGGTTGATTTCGTACTGCTATGTCGTATGTTGTGTGGCTGATTTTGTGGAGTGCGATTGGCCATTGTTTGGTTTACAATGAATTGCTGATTTGTGAATCGCACGTTAGGCCACACGGTATTAATTGGGCCAATTAAGCACGTGTTGTGACATTGGGTGTCTGAATTATGTTGGTGCTCGTGGTGCATTGCATTGCATAACATGGACACGCATTGCGTATGCCAAGAGTGAGGCATGTGATGAAATTGTGCGAGAATGCGTGTCTGTCACGAGCATGTGATCACCTAAAATACCCTGAAGCGTTATACGCTGGGTTCAGATAATAATGAGTTGTGTGATCACCTAAGGACCTTTGGGTCATGACCTTCGGGTCGATACCGTCCTCATGCACTTTGAAGCAGGACGATGCCCGGTACGTCCGAAAGACGACCATCCTCATGCACTTTGAAGCAGGCTCTGGTTCGTAAGGAGATCAGTGTTGCGCCTCATGCACTTTGAAGCAGGCTAGAGACACTGGGCCAGATCGGTTGCTGCGCCTCATGCACTTTAAAGCAGGCTAGACGCACCGGGCCGTGAAAAATTGATGACTCGAGTCGTAATAAATAATAAATTGGGCGATTGCCAGTGTGCCAGTGTGGGCCAGTGGGCCGGGAAATACACGTGACATGTCGACGACATTTGCATGCATGAACATGCATGGACTGGCATGCGAGTGTGTGAGCCTCGGTGCATGAGCATGTGATTGGCGTACGTGTGATAATATGTGCCACGTACGTGCCATGATTATTATATATTGAACTGCCTAACCTGCAGGGTCGGAGAATTATTTGATTGTTGTTGCATTATGGTTTCAAATATTCATTTCCGGTTAGGAGATTGCATGCTAGCCTAGCCTAGGTTTAGGGGTTGAACTCACTGAGATTCGTCTCACGGTTGTGTAAACCGAAACATTTCAGACCCCCAGCCGTAGGATGCCGAGGAGAGCGCCTCTTTTTGGTATACCGCAATTCATCCAGCGGTCATCTAGTGTGCACCCTTGTGGGGATGGACCTGCAGCCATGGTCGAGGAAGCTGAGGAGCCCGAAGTGATATACGCTGACCCCTTTTTACTGAGTGGCTGCTGACTGTGTGTTTTCTCGTCCGTTGTATAAATGAATTTTGTAAAAAGTTTCCTATGGTAATACTAGTATACATATTTTCAGAGGTGCTGTTTGCTGGTTGTACTACCTTGGTCTCATGTGTTTTATTGTCAGGGTGTATATATATATTTATATACGTGCTTCTGCATGTGTTTGATCTCTGATTGGGCGTTATGTCGGCGAAGCTTCCTGGGAGCGTCGCACTGCAATCGACTAAGGTAGGGATGTTAGTGCTTCGTAGGGTACGGGGCGTGACATTTCTCGAGGTGGTTTGACAGATTGCTATGTTAGCGCGGACGGTTCCTCTCGAGAGGTGGCGCTAACACTTGACGCGAGCTCTCTCAAGCCTTACTTAGTGTAACTTAATTCTTCCATTGATTATGAATAGTATTTTCTTTGAGAGCCGCCACTAACCTATTAGAGGCCGGTTGGAGATTTGATTTCGGGTATTTGGTTACGTCAGATGTATATCCAATGCCCAAATTGGTACCATTTTCTCTTTCCTGAAAACGTTTGTCATGGGGACTTCCCAAATTTTAATGCCCTATACATGTTCATTTACGTGTCCATGCACAATTGAGCTCAACATAACGGGCCATAAATTCATATATCCGCAACCAATAATCAAAGTGAAAGCACGGAAATTAAAGAACGACGATAAAAAAAATAAAAAATTTGGGTGCGGTAAGTAAAAATCCGATAAGGTCGGACAAAGAATATACATGGCCTTGTCATAGAGGCCCAGGACAGGATCCTCATGAGCTAAGCAAGAAATTAAACATTGAATTAATTCTAAAGCTCCCGTTCAGCAAGATTAGGTCAATTTTGTTAACATTAAGGAAGCTGTTTCACCTAATCTCAAGGATCTCCCGCTTTATTTCACCTGGTGTAAGTGCCATGGCATCTGACAAGCTTTATCCCCAGAAGTAAGCATGAGAGCACAAGTCGAACAATTTATTCGATAATTTTCTGAAGACTGCATAACTCTGCCGTACAACCTTGTTTCACAGAAGCAGGAAGACAAGTGTAGCAACTTATTCATAGAATTGCTTGAAGTGGTCGTTATGATTAACGCTTTCCTACTTGACTGACTCTTCAAAACTCAATTCCACTTTCATCAATCATACTTTTCGTCCACATATATATCTTGCAACTACTGAACTTATATTCAATTTCTTTTCAATCTCCCCTCGCCATCATCTCTTTTGGAAGTTGAATGCTTTGATTGAGAAGGCAAAGATGAATCCAAAGAGGAGAGATATTCCGACCAGCACGACCGCGACCACCCCCAGGAAGTCATGCCTGAACCCGAAATAACTCCTCACGAACTCTTCGACTGTCTCGCCACTGTCGAGCGCGTCCTTAACATCTCCAAACTGCGAGGCCACCAGCCCGTACAATGTCCAAAACATGGGACATGCCCAGGAATACCATCTCCACCAGATAGGAATTCTCTGTTAAAACAAAAGCATGAGCCCTCATCAGTTATGCTTTTACTTTAATTCTTTTTTATTTCTTTACTGTTTTTCCACTTTAGTTTCAGTGAAGATATCGATGAACTTACTGTTCGCGGCACGATGAATCCCGAGAAAAGGTTCCAAATCAAAAAGAATGCCGAAGAGGTTATGGTGGCTATGTGGTGGTTGGGCGTGACCGCCACGCTCGTCATTCCATAGAGAGTGAAGAATAACAAGGTGAAGAACATACAGAAGATGTACCAAAAGAACTTGCCGGCTGTCCATTCGAACCTGATCATTGTATAGACAATCACTCCATAGATGACAGTTTGGACGAAGATGTAGGGAATCTCGATGATGACCTGCGTGAAACAATTTTTTCAAATAACATGATAATTTCTCTCATGACTCTTCCTATTTTCCAATGAACTACCTTAGTCAAATTCTTTTACTTAGTTATGAAAGTGAAAGATGTCCTTACGTGTGCAAATGCATAGGGCAGAGCGGAATACATTCCAGCCCCTCTCTCTCTATAGAAGACTGTCCTCTCAATGGCCACAACAGGTTGAACCGACTTCGTATTCTGAAATCCAATGAAAAGGATAGCCGCGTACATTGAGCCCATGGCATTGAAGAGATCTTGCTGGTTTCTCCTGCAAGTCCCACAAGTTTTGAGCAAATAATGTCCGTAACTGAGCCATTATACTTCTTTTCCTGAGTCCAATTTCTCTTTAATTCGCAACAAAAAAAGCGTAGTACTAATATATCTATGCTTATGAAATTCTGTCACCTTTTGGAGCCGAGGTTCCAAAATATCGTGCCGAACATCAGGGCGATGAAAGTTGTGAATAGAAGTCTCACGGCTGTGTATGCCTGGTTGCGCCCATACGACCAGTGTTGTTTCCATAGACAAGCCATACACTGGGTGAAGAACGATTGTGAATATTGCGTTGGAAAATGGAGATCTTTCGACCCCGGTGGAGGCGTACTTAGTTCGTTGATCAGAGCTTTGTTTCTCCTGATTTAAACATTGGAGAACGCCAGACACGGTGAAAGCTCTGCTACTACGCTTGTAAGCTCTTATCTTTTCAACCTTAAATTTTATGACAATTTCTTTTGATGTTATCGAGCCGAAAAACGTAAATGTTTCTGCTTCTGGTGAAGTAACTTCTTACCTAAACAGTTCTGAACTCCTGTACACTTCGGTGAAGTTAACCCCGAGGGTTTCTTCTTGAGCAGTTGTCGTCACCTCCAACATCCAAGTTGCCGGATTGTATCGGTTTTTAATTTTTGGAACTCCGCTAATGCCCTTTGATTTGGACGCATGTAATATTAGCAGTTAAAGCTCAATGTAATTTAAACTCAGTTTCTTACTGCGCAGCAGTGAGCTCACCTCAAAATAGTTGATCAGGTGCGAGGAATGCTGGCCTAGTGGACCGACATAGATCTCCTCTCCGCCTCTTTTCAGAAGAAACAGCTGCATATCAATAAGGAAAATATCTCGGATACTTTGTTGTGTGGAAAGATAAAAGCAGACAGATAGCTCGGTCCCTCGTGAAAATTTGTGTCGAACCTCATCAAAAGCATCAAATATATCGATGCTCGGCTGGTGGATGGTGCAAACAACAGTTCGCCCTGTGTCAACCGTGTTTCTAACTGTTCTCATTACTATAGCAGCTGCCCTGGCATCAAGGCCGGAGGTAGGCTCGTCCATGAATATGATGGATGGGTTGGCTACGAGCTCCACTGCAATTGTCAGCCTTTTCCTCTGCTCAGTGGAGAGGCCATTAACACCAGGCAACCCAACTAGCGCTTCTCGTAACGCGGTAAGCTCTATGAGCTCCATTACTTCTTCAATGAACATCTGCAGATGTTGGATCAAATTTCTGGTTAGCACTCTATTGCTGGGAGGGACTCGAAGGTAGCCACATTTTTACACCATCTAAAATGTTCATGAGCAGTGGTTGTCCTTTAAGAGATGCCAAAATCTATGAGGTGAACAATGTAAACCATGAGAAAAATTCCATCTGGTATAACTTTTTGAGAAAACCCGAAACGGATAAAAATGTAGAATTCACCTAAGATGCCGGATGTCATAAAACTAATGGATCAAGTAATATCTCTACCTTCCTAGTCTCAGAATCCACTTCAGGAGGTAACCGAAGCCATGCAGAATACACCAAGGACTCATAAATTGTAACGTGAGGAGAGTGGATATCGGTTTGTTCACAGTATCCTGATATGCGAGCGAATGTTTCTTGCTTCTTTGGGTACCCAGATATCGTGATTGTCCCATCGATGTATCCACCTGTTTTCCTTCCAGCCAACACGTCCATTAGAGTGGTCTTTCCAGCACCACTGACACCCATTAAAGCCGTCAATACTCCTGGCCTGAAAGCACCACTTACACCTTTTAGAAGTTCCAGTTGATCTTCGGGAATACCTTGAGCATTCATTTCCTGCAAATGCAAAGACCAACTCGCTGATTCAGTTATGTTCAGCACATAAAAGTTCTGCGCCTTCAATTGTCAGAACCAAAGCATCTTCCGAGCAAACAGTACCTGAGGCATATCTATGGCGTATCTGATATCATCGAAAGCAATAGAAAGCGGCTCGAAAGGAAGAACCATTCCTCGTTTCCTATTTGGGTCCGAATAGTTTTTGCTCCCGGCTCTCGTAGACAATTTTCTATCTGCAGCGCTTCTTTGGTGTCCACTCTCTTTATCTGTATTATCACGTTAGTGATCCCTTTAGCTTAAGTTCTACTCGACAGGCAAAAGTACAGTATGTGTTGGTTCTGTGGCTCACCGGATGAACTCCTCCGGCTTCTTCTCAATGATAGCTCAATGACCTCACCATTCTTGCTCGCGATTTTCTCTGCCAGAGTCTCTTTTGATAGTACAGCTTGAGGCTTCCCAATTGCTGCAGCAAAGTGGAAGTCATTCAACAAAACGTACACCGAATCCTCTGAAAATAGAAGCCTTGTGAAGAGAGACTTACGATCGAGATATTTCATCGCCATAGTGAACAGGAAATTGAACAGAAAAATGTATCCAATCATTGCTCCTACTCCTATCCAATACCAACGCACTTCGGGAAAAATGCCGCGGGACTTCAGGACCAAAACTCCTAAAGGTTCTGTGAAGTTAGGTGGAATCTGTACCACAAAAGTTCTGGAACTTCAGCGGTTGATACTCCAAAAATTTTAGCAAACTTTGTTAATTCTTTGTTATTGTTTAATGACAATTTCGTAAGAAGGTGCTTACATGTCTCCACTGCTTTCCGAGAAATTCATTTACAGCGATTGCGTTCTGTGCATACATCATTGGGGAGATCCAATACCCCCATATCCACCATGGCTTAACGTCATCTGGTTTCAAATCATGTCACGTCAGGAAATTGCATATGTAATTGCAAATCGAAAGAATAGTTTTTTAGACATCCGGTTGACCTCTTGATATGATGAATCCGCCCAAGACCATAATGGTGAGTAATCCAAACGATCCAAAAGTATTCGCCACTATCACGTTCCTTCCTATGGCCGCGATGAATCGAAATAATCCAGATGCCATCTGATGTAGGCATAGTAGCAGAAAATACTGTTTGAAGAACCTGTTAGCAAAGAATTTATCAATAGCTGAATCATTAGATCAAAGCCTGATGTTCTAAATAAATGTCATTTGATCAACCTTCCAGCATAAGGGTCATAGCCTATGACATAGTAAGTCATGATCACCCAAATAGCAACTTCTACTAGAGTGATCGGAATCTTCAGGATCCATGTGGGTAGCGAATACGCCCACGCAGGAAAGAAGAGGAGGTCTCTCTGCTTGTAGAAGACAGGGAGCTTCATGATTGTCATGGCAACCTCTGAGAATCCATTAAACATCATCACGATCACAGTGAAGAAGAGAGCGCCAAAATAAATACCACCATCTGTCACGGTATCTCGGTGCATATCAGTCCGTAGGAACACCGTCATCGTTATGAAAGCCATAAGGATAAGCTGATATGCATCCAAAAAAGGAAGTGTTAGGATATTACAAATGGTATTGACAGATCAAATGCATCACTTAGTCCGGATTGCAGACTAATCTATGAAAACCAGTATATCAACTTGCTCACCTGGAACATTTTGAAAAAATAGACAAATGAATTTCTCCTCATTAGCAAAAGTTCCCTCGAAACGCAAGCTCTCAACAGTTCTTTCTGGCTCACCCCGTACTTCTTAGTTGTTAGAGCAGCTGGATGGCCTTTCGACTTGTCGAACGGGATCGCAAGCTGGTCACCTAGTTTCCGACCAATATGAAATGACTGAAACGCTTCAGAAAATTCGTTGACTGTTACAAACCTGTAAGGCGTCTCCTTATTAACCCAATACTGCTCTTGATCTTTCCTTGAAGTCACCTACAGATTATATTACAGAAGATAGAATTAATGAGTCAATTGTCTCATATAGCGCCAAAAAATAAAAATAAAAATAAAAATGTGATTTGGAATATTACTTCTTGCAAGAAATCAGCTACTCCTTTCCTTTCAGGACATTTAAAACCCATGTGTCCGAAGAACTCGAGCACGTTTTCTCGGGGACCTTGGTAAACAATTTGCCCATCCGAGAGAAGGATGATATTATCAAACAGGTCGTAAGTTTCCGGCGCAGGCTGGAGGAGGGATATTAGAGCAGTCCCATTTAGGATGTGTATGGACTGTCTGAGTGAGTTCACTATTTGGAAAGTCGTCGAACAATCCAAGCCAGTTGATATTTCGTCCATAAATAGTGCTTTGGCTGGCCCGACTAGCATCTCCCCTGTTTTATGTCAACACGAATTGAAGAAAATCAACCTAACTTGATAGAAAAGGGATTGCAATCATCTAACAACACGGGATACTAAAGCAGCCTTCTGGGTCTTACCCGTTGTGACTCGTTTCTTTTGTCCCCCGGAGATGCCTCGTATCATTTGATCTCCCACTATTGTGTCGGCACAGATTTCAAGTCCTAGTATCTAAAATTAAGCATTGCGAAAAAACACAGAAATTTTAAGTCTTTGTGCTTTGCTATTTTCCTCGTGGAAAAAACAGGAACGGACTAATGGTGTTCTAACTTTCTTGGCTATACCTTGATTATATAATCGACAACAACATTACTCTCCTGTCCTTCCAGTGCTGCTGCCTGCAGAAGATTAAGATCAATAGAAGCTCTTATGGGTATTAATTAATGTTTTTGACCATATTTTGTGCATTACGTAAAAAGAAAGTATAAAAATCCGCAATCAGAAAGCTGTTTGACCATTCATTAGTCCTGATCTCATGTCTCACCTTCATAAAGATATCTATATCAGGATCAGGTTTTATGTTTGCCTCCTTTTCTCTCCTTGATAACTCTGCTAGCATATCTGAAAACAAATGTTAGTGTTATACCTCTTAATCCTTGCTCTTTTTGAGAATTTATCCTTTGAATTATGGTAACGAAGAAAAATGGTGCCAACTCACCATAACGGGGTCCAACACCTTGACACCTGGCCGAGAAAGCGAGAGTTTCCCTAACAGTCATTTCTCCTATATGGAGATCATATTGACTTACATAAGATGATGTCCTCTGCGGTACAAATTCTTCCATCCCTTGTCCATTGTACGTGACTCTCCCCGAAAACTACAATTCACAAGCTCTTTGTGTGACTTATACACTAAAGATTTCACTACTATAGTAAGGCAGCTCTTAAAGTACTTTCTTTATGCTTACTTTCAAATCTTTGCTGAGCTTCCCAGCTAATGCTAGAAGTAACGTGGTCTTTCCAGAGCCTGGAGGCCCCAGAAGTAAGGTCATTCTGCCAAAGAAGAAAAAATTAGGTCAACAATATCAGAACTCACTTCTTGAGCATTGTATGCTGGTCAAAATCTGTAGAAACTCTCTCTCTTTCTCTTCTTACCTGCGAGGCTTGATGATTCCGCTGACATCATTGAGGATTGGTAATGGTTTCTTTCTACTAGGAAGGATGCAAAAATAGTTGAGAAACCCCTGTTGACATTGATTAATATTAGACGGTTTTCAGTCAATTTGAGCAGAATCCAAGAAAAAAGTAGATATTCAATGAATTGACTGTTTAATTACCTCAAGTATGTTGACATAGAAATTAAAGATTGTGGGTAGAGCTCGGCTTCCAACATAAGCTTCGGCCTCGACATTTAGATGCTCAAATCGGACTTCAATCGTAGGAAAATCCAGTCCAACTCTTTTTATAGTACAGAAGGGAAAATGCAGATTTTTTCAAGATTTATAATGAAACTTTCAGCTTGGAGAAGAAAATACTATTTCCCATATGAAGTTTCTTTCTCTAAATAAAAAATAAAACTACTTTGACATGCTCGTAAAGAATATGGCAGTGACCAACTAATTGAATATCTGAATTGCTTATTAGAAGTCATCAGCATATACCTGTCAATCCTCTGCTTCAGCTTTGACAAGAACTTCTCATTGTCTTCCTCAGCTGTCTTCAGCAACCTCTCCAACAAGTTCCTCCTCTCTATCAACCCGAGATTCTCAACATCGACCTCTCTTATCTGGCCTTCTTCTTCGGCAAGAATGCTCCGCCGAATGCGCAAGTAAGTTGGAAGCTTTTCAATTGCAGCCCATTTCAGAGCCTCCTCATCATCCTCATTCCTGCTAGACCTTGAGAAGATCTCCTTCCCACTGTTCCTCCATATGTCCGAGCTGCTCGAACGTGCACTGCTCAGCCTTGCACTGCTTATTCTAATTGCATCACCAGTGTCCATAGTCACCCACTAAAAGCTAAACAAATGCTTCACTGAATTGAAATTTTCATGCAAGATGGCCTTTGTCCATGAAAATGTAAATGAAAAGGGTCAGGAAAGTTTGAAGCTTTCTTAGATTCTTTTTGAAAGCATCTGAGGATAGTTGAACAAGAGGGAGTTGCATTTGGTGTGTGTATATATAGCCTGAGAAGAAGAAAAAGATGCCAAAAGGGGGTCAATAATTATTATTTTTCTTTCGATATAAGTTTTGATGCACATGTGGGTTTGAGGTAATTGCATATGTCACAGGAGGAAGGAAACAGGTTGGAGCATTTTCTGGCACGACTATATCTAAGAGATAATTGCACTTTCGAAAGTGAATGGAAGTGGGAAGGAGAAGGTGGATGATTACATGTATGGTAACATTTCATTGCCAATCCTGCCGGTGGTGGACACCGGAATTAGGCTAGAACGAGAAAAACTTTTTACGCATAAAAGCTTTAAAAATTACTTGCATGACAAATTTTACGAGGGAATTTAAAGTGCACATTTGGAGACGACGGGAGAAGGTGGCGCAATCGCCACAACCAGCTCTTGGTCAGTTATTCGATGATGCTATGCGATAGGATAACAATATTCATCTTGCAGAAAGAAATTCCCTAGTTTGAAAAGTAATGCAGCGTGTATGATCGGAAAAATAACATATGATGATCATCTTTGGTCATACTAGTAATCAAGAGTGCTCGCAGGTATATCTGAGTCTATTAACTACTCCTTTCACATCGCCCTTCTTGTATCTTTCCGTGACCATTAATTTCTGCATTATCGTATGTACTTATCAGTAATCTTGAAACATTGAGATGACTTCTTAATGTTAGCATCATATACTTCAAATTTTTGTGGATTTTTAGAATCCACGTGATACACCCGTTTTTGTAGCCAAAAACAAGTTTGTGTGCATGTGTTCAAGGTGTCAGGAAATTTCCTCGAAAGGGAAAAATATGAGAAAAGAGATTGAACTGACTTGAACGCAGAGCCATTTATATTGCATTATTGGCGACCAAATGTACTTCCACCTTAAAATAATACTTATTTTCTGCTACAGAGGAGGCGAGGAATTGAATAGAGAAAAACAAAAGATTCTTCAACGCAAAGCCAGCTCGAGGAGCACGGGAAACTCATTACTACCTAACGTGTCTTACTTGCGACTCTAGTAACTAGGAAGACGTATCCCAACCTGTCAAGAAGTCGGTCAGCGCTAATTAATACCCACGTTGTGAACAACCAAAACCGGTATTTTTGTATTGAAGTTTCATCTTAGAGATCAAACGAGGTACCAGGCACATGCAACCCTTCTTTCTGTACAGGAAAACTCACCTGCCGCTCATAGGTTTGCTGTATACACAGCGGATTCATTATATTATGAGTACAAAGGGTGAGATGAGAAGACCTGAGACCCTCTTTCAGGGACCGCTGGAGTTCTATCCCCGCAACGGTGTATTAGGTTTGAGTCATGACTACCGTTCATTTTGAGTGAACCCTTACTACCATCCCACCACGATTCCAACTTTATGTGTCCAGAGCTCGGTCTTTCAGTATAAATGCTTTTAAATGATTAGCTCCCCTGTAAGGATTATCGTGTTTTTGGGGATTATGATCTTCCTTCTGGAACTGATTAATGCAAATTGGTTAGTCCATGGGAAGAGCTAGAACTGAGTTTGTCATCAAATGCTCGACCCTGTTTGAATATTTTGTTCTTACTTCATTAGGTAAAGACAGAGATGTCGGATATCTCTGATAATCTAATCTCGGGTGTATGGAGTTGTGAGTCTGAGTTTCTTCCGGTGATTCGCTCAGGGAAATTTGCCGATGTTGGCTTTCCTACAAGCATGGCGAACGTATATGTTTGTGTCGGCGACTTTGTTCGTGATTGTGGACTCAATAACACGGCAGATGGGCCAACGCATACCATTGGGTATCGACCTTCTCTACTTTCTATTTAACAGGCTTTCATGTTGAGAGCATTAGCTGAAGCTGTGCTCACCACTCAGTGCTATCAGTATCTTTTGGTCTGCCTCTGATTTTCTTAATCTGCCGATTGCTTGCTCGTCTGTTTTCATGTTGATGTCAGTCTATCTATTCTTTTCCAACTTGGACAATAACCACCGCCTCTCTGGCCCCCGGCTGATTCTACCACAGAGGCCAACCACTGACAATAACTCCCGCCTTAATACAACTTTACAACTTTCATCGTTATGTTCTCCCCCTCGCGTGTGAACTGCCAATTAACTTATCGTCTCTAATACCATTTGCTTGGGGGGTGAAGTTGAAGCCCGATACCTTAACCTAGGAAAATCGCTAAGAGAGAATCCAAGTCCAAGCCCGTTAATATATCCAGTTGGACCTACTTTAATTTAAAAGCTTAAACCTGTGAATTATGGGCCAACTAAAATATATCAAGTACTCCACACCACACCTATTGTTCCATGTAGCAGTTTTTTTAACACAACTCACACGGGCATCTCAACGTTTCAAAGAGTAACTCTTCTCAAAATTATAAAGACTGCCGAGTTAGAATTTCATTCTAACTAAAATTTTCTTGTTGTTCGAAACGATCCAACTACAGGAGAACTAGTAGAGAGGTTCCCTCCTTTTCAGCCCAACTCTTTGGTCTTAAGAATGTTGATTCTAAGAATAAGTGGTTGTCCTTCTCCAACCCTTACTAATTAACTTAAGAGCGGACAGCTAATGCAATCCACTTATCGAGCAGGATTCTATGGTTGGTATGATATCGACTTTATTATGATCAACCATAGAGAAAAGATTTTGTGGTTTCATTGATAGCTCAAATGTAATACAATGACTGTTATTCGGTCTTTCTTGTGTACCATTTGTCCATAAGAAATTTGTTGATAGAGGTCGATGCACATGAGGAATGTAACCATGGTTTGGTCCTTAACCATTTAATATCTTGTGGTACCTGTGCTGGCTGCTGCTTTAGGACATTATTGAAGCAGTTGTGCTACCGAGTGCTATTAAAGTTTCTTAAAAATTGATTCTCTTGATCTTTAGAAAGGACATCTCTTGCAATAATACCCGCTTCTGATTTTTTCTATGACTAGGAAAAGTTTTCTACACGTGCTTTATGGTAGCACTTTGGTTGGTTTGTTCGGTTTGGGATTTTAAAATACAGAACCAACTCTGTATCAGCTATTGTTTTATATGAAATGAATGATGATCAAAGCTTAATATTTTAAAATTACGATTTTCTTTATATTCCGCAGGGCTATGATTCAAACGTTTTCCTCAATCTTTTTTAATTTGTTGATGAGAGGAGAATTATTGTATCGATCGATCAGGTTTTTGATGTGCATGGGGGAAAGCATGCTGCTGATTTTGCTTGCTACAACTTGCTGGCAGAACATTACTAAGGATAAGGGCTTTCCTCGGGAGATTAAGAAGGTTGTTGCTTTAGCATTTTTGCAGACCGATGCTGACTTTGCAGAAGCTGGCTCCTTGGATGCTGCTTCTAGGACCATAGTCTTGTATGACATCTCTGGATTAACTCACTGAGGTATTGTTTGCTTTGGCAAGTACCACACTGAGCCCGGTTTTGTCCTTCCTGGGAGGTCACCCATCTTAAGAGTGATTCCACTTGAGCACTGTAAATTTAAGCACTGCCCTTATGTCACGCCCCGAACCCCTACGGCACGCGACACCGCCTCTGGTCGATTCAAGCGACATCCTAGGAATATCGCTGACCTCAAATTCGCCATCAGAGATTTACTACCACAGCGGATATCAACAATTAAACCCGGACAATTAAAACTGGGGAGAAAAATCAGGGAGAATATACATATCTTTTTCATTTCCTTCTTATACCATAATATTTACATTTATAAACTGTCCCATACATGTACATGCATATCGCCTTTCTCAAAAACCGATACTCCAAGGATGAAAACTTGGGTTTACTACTACTCCAAAAATGGTGCTCGCCAAAAACCCATTCTGAGTCTGAGTCCCTTTATACCGTCCCATCCACTGAGGACTCCAAAACGTTCTGGTGGCGGTGGCGGAAGATTCATGGGTCCTGTCGGGGTTCTGAAATTGTTGGTTGAAACAACCGTGAGAACACTTCTCAGTAAGTTCACCCCTAAACCCAACCTAGGCTAGGCTAGCATGCAATCTCCTGACTGGAAACAATTATTCAAATCACAATACCACAATAGTCAGACAATTATCTGACCCTGCAGGTTAGGCAGATCAACATACAATAGTCACGGCACATGCGTGGCACGCATAATCACACGTATGTCAATCACACGTTCATGCACCGATTCTCATACATTCGCATGCCAGTCTATGCATGTTCCATGCATGCAAATGTCGTCTACATGTCATACGCATTCTCCGGCCCACTGGCCCACACTGGCACACTGGCAATTTCCCAATTTATTATTAATTACGACTCGAGTCCACATTATTAACGGCCCGGTGCGTCTAGCCTGCTTCAAAGTGCATGAGGCGCAACACTGATCTCCTTACGAACCAGAGCCTGCTTCAAAGTGCATGAGGATGGTCGTCTTCCGGACGTACCGGGCATCGTTCTGCTTCAAAGTGCATGAGGACGGTATCAACCCGAAGGTCACGACCTGAAGGTCCTTCGGTGATCACACAACTTATTATTATCTGAACCCAGCGTATAACGCTTCAGGGCATTTTAGGTGATCACATGCTCATGGCAGATACGCATTCTCACACAATTTCATCACATACCTCACTCTCGGCATACACAATGCGTGTCCATGTTATGCAATGCAATGCACCATGAGCGCCAATTAAATTCAAGCACTCAATATCGCCACACGCTGAAACATCACATTGCAGGCACAACAAATAATATTGCCAGGCTCAAACATGCGCACAACATCATTCAAACTCAATCCTGTCAGATGTAAACACACGCATATACCACTCTTATCCCATTATTCCGTCCATTCTCATTTCCTCTTTTTCAT